AGGTAACTGAATTTTACGTCTTAATTACCTTAGTCCGCATGAGAACGATAGTTTTGAAAAACACTTCTAAAATTAAAATAGCTTCACTGAAAACAATTTTATCTCATCAGTGGTTTAATAATACAAAAAAGTTGTAAAATCTCTATGTGAAATTTGAGCGTCTTTTTGTAGTGGAAAGCACATTAATTTGGTCTTGTGAAAATCAGATAATTGTCAGATTTTAATGAAACTTTCAGGACTTAGAAATTATTTTTGAAACGTTTCCTTTTTTATAATAATAAAATCTTTGTAAAAATATTTCTTTTTACATTTGTGAGGCGGTGGGGCCCAACTCATTTAGATTTAATTTTATGAAATTTCAAGAATTTTTTTTTTTTTTTTTTTGCTATAACTTGGAGAATTTAAATCATCACATTTATTTTGGTCAAACAAGACCACCAAATGCAGAAAATCTGCTTTAAACTTTAAAATAAAAAAAAATGTCTTGCATTTTTTTTTTTTTTAATTAGGAAAGCTTTTGTTTTTATGAATAAAATTACGGATTCTACTGTATAAAGAAAATTTTTCAGCGAATTATAAATTTTTACAAGAATTGTTTACATTTTTATAGTTTTATTAAATTAGAATAATTTATAAACTTAAAATTCTGTATTAATTTGTAGCAGCTAAATGATACTGTTATTAAATTAAGGCCCAGCTTGAAGAGCTACTCTCAACCCTTGCTGCAGAAGATATGTGTCCTGTCAGCTTGACTTCAGATTTCTCATTCCTTGAGGGAATAGGTAGAGAAATCTCCTTTCAAGACACTTTCCCAAGGGAAAACTACACGCAACTCTTTCTGTAGAAGACATGTACCAGTCATAGCAGTTTCACACTCAGATTTCTCCTTCCTCGAGGGGAACAAGCAGAGATATCTCTGTACAAAATATCTACTCAAGAATTTTGTTAAATGGGAAATCCCAATTTTTTCCCAGCAAAATTTGTTTTGTTCATTCCACTCTCACTACCGAGCACACTCACGCAACCAGGAAAAATTCTAACAATACACTTCCAATATTGGAAAGTAATCACAGGCAGTAATTTAGAATTATTTCCTTTTTGAACATCCATACAAAAAATTTCTAACAGTTGCTAAAAAAATTCTTTGAAAATATTCACACTAAAATGATAAACTTTACATTTTTCAATTCTTCAATAAACGTGTTTATTTAACAAAAAAAAAAACTTGTTACAAACAGCTGCGTTCAAAATCGCACTGAAAAATTACAAGTAATTAAAAAAAAATTACTTTTAGTTTTAATTTTTCATCGCAATTTCGAAATTCTTCCAGCTTCTGTTCGTAACGTAACAAAAGTTTTTTTTTCTTTTGTCAAATAAAGATATGTTTGAAGAATCTAAAAATGTGAAGTTTAATAGACTCTGAAAAGGTTCGCAACATACCCTCTAAAATTTTAGTAAACTGTTTTAAATTATTTTTTTTTTTTGTACAGTGTAACCCGGATATAAGAGAGTTCAGTTATGTTCAAGTTCAAATTGATGTAAGCAAGAATCGAAAAATGTAAAATAAATCTACATTTATTAACGTAGATTCTTTCTCTGTCTAATCAGAAAGAAAAAAGAAAAAACGCATGTTATTTTTTAAATTATTTAAGCACCAACTCTCAAAGAAATTAATTTTTTTAATTTTATTGAATTATTTTTGTAAAATTCGGGACAAATTTTCTGTTACACTTCAATATTGCATGATTCTTTTTTGAAATAGCATCTTCAGCTTCAGAGATTTTTCTTTCTATAACTCCGGTATAATAACTGTATTAATAAAAAAAAAAAAAAAAAAGAATGACGAATGGCCTCCACCCCAGCGTCAAATTAAAAAGTACACACGAGATACCGAAAAAGGAGGGGGGATGAAACACCCCACCCCAAATATTTCCACGAGGTTTTCTAAAATAACCTATTCAGTAAACAATTTATTCATTAATGAATGAGTACTGAAATTTTCGTTTGAATCGGATAATTCTCTGATTTTTGACAAATATTTTAAAATATGTGGTAGCCATTTTGTACTTTCATTTCGGAAAAATGCATCTATTTTTGGTCGGGGGGTACCTAAAAAAATGGTGTTGAAGTAGTAGGTATTACTGGACAATTATTAAAATCTTTCTGGTTTTAAGATTGCGTTAATAAGCTTACAAAGGTTGATAAAATTTTCATTGATTCCTGATAAACATTTTATTTTTGTTTGGATGTGAACATGACATTTCATTTTGCAACTCTACATCACGAATGTACTTCAAACAAAATGGTGTGCGCTTTTGGCTCATGTATATGCCAAAATTTGTTTTATGACATACTTAGCTACAGAAAAGAAAAAACAATAATGCATGAAAATTTTCAATTATTCTAACCCCAAACCTACCCATTATTTTTTAGATTCTCTATCTGATATTATTGATTTTATCACCATAAAAAATTCCTGCATACGAATTACCTCCCTTACAATTATTTATTCTTTTTATTTATTATTACCTCGCCTCATTGTATAGAATTTAGAAACGAGGCACGGCGGAAGTGAAATATGGCCAGACTAATCTAAGGGAGGTAATTCTGTGATTGGTATTGTTTCGGGAGTTAAAAATCCTCAATATCTGCATTATTTTTATTCTTTTAGTGAGAATCTATAAAAATGGAAGATGTATTTTTTTTTTTTTAAATCTGAAACTTAGAATTTATTTTGGAAAAATAAAAATTCGTTTTTTTAATTAACGTAATTGGAAAATTGTAATCAACGACAAAAAAAAAAAGAAGAATCTTAATTATTTGTTGTGACGGGTTATTTACTGATGGCAGTCTGGTGGTCATGACTGACTGAAAAAAATAAGCAATGAAGTGTCACTAAGAGTAAGACAAAAACAGAATCTTTTAAAATGTTCGATTGACCACGAATTCTGTCTTTACGCATAAGAAGCAAGAATAAAAAATGTAAACCATTGAACACTGAACACAAAACATTGATTATTGGAAGCAATATTTCTAACACTGTGAGATTCGCATTCTCAAAGAAATTAAATATGTATCCCTGTTCATTGAAACTTTCATATTCGTCATTTTATTGATTCTTGTTGATTGCACAGATAAAAATTCTTGTAATATATAAAAAACAATCACCAAATTTTGGCACTACTATTCATCAAAATAGGAAATACTGTAATTTTATTTTTAGGAAATAATTATTTTTTGTAGAATCTTCCTTAGACTACGATACTTGGCAGAATCGAAAAATATTGATTTCTTATCGTTTTAGACGGGAGTCCTATTTATTATGTCGGTCCGGGTATCAAATCGATCCCTGATTTTTTAGTTATTATTGGCCTTTTGTTTTGCCGCAAAAGTTTTGCGTATTAAGGTGGGGGTTAAAAATATTTTTCTTAAAGAACGATAAGTAAGGAACAAAAATTTACATTAATAAATTATTAATTTATTTAATACAATTATGAACCCATTTCTAGGTACTTCCACGAAATCGGTAAAAAAAAAATCAGCATACCGTGATGAACACGTGCTACTAAAAGATAATTTTTAGTGACTATAAAACAGAATTCTTTTAAGAATTTATTTAAATCACCGAATTTTTGCAAAATTGGACCCTATCTTACCGAACTGTTCTGAATCGAAAAATAAAAAAACGCAATAAAACTAAGACATTATTTAATTAGAGAAACATTTAACTTCCTCAAATAACGTTTCATAAATATGTATTTTATTTTTGCAAGACTTTTAAAACCGAGAATTTTAAAAACTTGTTTCCTAATGTGTCAAAACAAAAAACAAACATTTATTGTTTTTGTTTAGTAACTTAGTTTATTCATTGAAAAGGAAGATACAAGAACTTAACTTTAACGTAAATAAATAGATTTTATTTCCTTGAAAACAATATAGTAATTAAAAAAAATATTCATTTCAAAATATTGGAGAAAGGACGACCCTGGTTGTGTTGTAGTGTGGTTTTATCTCCCCCTAGTTAATAATACTTTAAAAAAAATACTGGGGAAGGTGGCCTAGCATCCTTCTGCAATTACACCCTGGTGTTGTTGTAGTGAGGTTTTATCTGGGCCTCACGATTTTCAGTTATTTAAAAATATAGGGAACGGCCCTAAAATCAATTTTCAATCGACTTTCATATTTACCGAATTTTACTACCTTGTCAACGTTACCAAATCTTCCTAAATCAATTTCATCCACAAATACTGGGGAGAAAAAAAAAAAAAAAAAAAGGCGGGAAATTTTCTTTGGCGCCATTTTATTTTGTGTAGTGTACCATTTGACATAAAATCCGGAAAAAAAAACCTGGAGGTCTGTTTAACAGTTAACACCGTTTGTTGAAAAAAAATTTTTTTTTTTTTTAATGTTTTTAAATATTGTTTTCGAATATCTTTTAGTTTTCAATTTTCATTAATTCGATATCTGAAAATTAATTTTTTCTATATATTTTTTTCACAATTGTATAATCGACTGATATTTTGATGTTAAGTAAAAATTAAATTAACTATTTAAAAAATTATTATTTTTTTTTTCTTTTTTCCTTTGTTAAAGTTATTTCGTCGGTACGGAAACTCAGAAACATGAAAGGAACTAAAAAATGGGAAAACAATGTTTCTACTTTTGAGTTTCTGTTTGAGTTTTTTGACTGATCACACATTCTTTTTTCCCTTTTTTGCTATATTTTCGACTGAGAGAAAAGGGTAATTTTTCTTTTGGACCCTTAGAGAATATTGATCGTATTAGTAGTGATACAAAAAAGATTAATAAACCTACCTGGCAGAACACTAGGATAGATAACAAAAATACAAAATTTATTGAGCTACAAAAGAAAGGAAATTGTGGAAAACCATGATCGTCAACTGTCTGAATGGTCACAAAACATAGATGATTAAATTTAAGTATGTTGGAAAAACTAGCCAGAGACTGATGGTTCATATGTTATGGAATATTAAAGTTCGATGAAGAAGGTATCTGCTGGAGGCAGAGGACTAGCTTCAGCTGTCTATCGACTTGACTGGTATCAACGTGTCACGCACAACTGATTCTGACCTTTGAACCATTACATAAATCATGAAATTAACTTCACTTTAGCAAATTTTAAATTGCCGAATTTTCTCTCGGATGATCGCGTATTGGAAGTGTAATGTCAATTGTCAACAAAACCAGGTTACAATTTTCCATTTTTCTCTTATATTTTTTTTGAGCGAAACAAGGGTAAGGTTATTTTTTTTATAAAATAAAGAACAAAAATTAATTTATAAAACGGATGTTAAAATATGTCATTTAATAAGGTTCTAAATAAAGATATAAGGTCGTAAAAGACAATGAATTGAGGATTGAATGAAAAAAGTTTAGTAAAAGTTCAATATCCACATGTGATCTCTTCTATTTTTTTTTTTTTTTGTGGTATCCAATTAGAACTGTAAAAAGAACTTTCCTCAAATACAAGTAATTTCTTTTCATAAAAATCCCCAAAACAAAACATTATTTAATTAACCATAACAGAGGAAGCCAATTAAACAATTTATCAGTCTGTCAATTTCAAGGAACATTAAAAAAAACCGCGGGTGAAGGGAGATAACTCTCGTATTCTCACTTTTTTGACAGCGGAAGTTATTTTTTTTTTTTTTTTAGTGTTACACCAGATTTCATTAACGTTGCGTCAAAACCTCTTCAACGAGTAAGTGTTATTAGCATTCATGCATGAAATGTTTCTTAATATTAGATGTAATAATTTTCTTTTCCACCTAGTATATAAAATATAAAAAGAATAATCGATATTGCATTCTTTTTCATGAAAAGGACGCTGGAAGGGATATTTGCGCAAATGTTTATTTTGTGCTAGAGATCAGATATCCAATAATGAATTTTAAATTCAATGATTTAAATGACAATAACGGTAGATGAAGTAACAATAGTTCAATTATGGTGATTCGATTTTTCAATGAGGCCTCAGATACTTGTCAAAATATCGTGATGACATTGCATCATCATTATTTTTAGTCAATTTATTTTATTACCGTTTCACCATCGTAATTTCAACACGCGTGTTTATCAATTACATTGTATGGCAACTGCCTTAATCGTTACCTTTCTTCAGGATTGTTTTAACCCGGGAGTCAAGCAGCCAGAATATTTTAGTTTTATCTAAAATTTAAAAGAAAAATTTCTTTGGTAGGAAGCAGAAGAAAATTATTAAGCTTTTTGTTTCTCATTTTTATATCTATTTTTAAAATTTTATTTCTGTTGCACCTGCTTAAAAAAAAGGATTGCGTTTCATTGTCTGCCTTCTCAACTAAATCTGCCTGTGAGTAAATTTCTTGAAAAATAGTAACACGCCTTTCAAGCTTGTTTTTGCTCGTGCTAAGGTTTGCAAACTTTTTTTTTTTTATTCTTACTGACAAAAGTGACAAACTTGCAATTTGAAAATAGTGAAAAACTTATTAAAATCCCGAAACTGCTAAAAAGTTGGATTTTTTTGTTAAAATTTCAGAATCTAAATCTAAAAATGTCGAAAATACTTTATGCTTCCACTTTTTCTCTCTCAAAGATTCATGGGGGTGAAAAAATCGAGTATTGTCTATTTCAGAGTTTCAAACGGTACAAAAACTGATTTACCTCCCTTATATATTTTTCCATAAGTAAACCAATTTTACAGTTGTGACTAGAAAATCCCAGAATTTGTTAAACAAATCAAAAGAACTAAAATTTTAAAGTGAAAGAAATTCAGTAACGTATAGCAATAACAATTTTAAATGTATTTCAAATACTGTCAATGAAATAACGTTTCCTTTTATTTTTTTTAAAGGAAATGACATTAATGATCCATACAATAAAAAAAAAATGAAGTTTTTTTTGTGCTGGGGAGGGGATTTTTTGACGAGCCCTAATTTTGAAAACTAAATTCTTATCTTATTTGAGTCAAAACTCACTTCTCAAAATTCTGGGACACTGATCACAAATGTTGAATTAAATATAAATTCCAGTTTTTAAGGTACTTGTTCGAAAGTGTTAACTAATTTTGATGACTGAATGGTGGTTCTTTTAAAACTTTTAGATTAGAACTTCTAAGTCATTTTACTTACGACAGTCTTTTTATTAAGATAGCATTTAGCAAGCACATTTTTGGTAGCGATATACACAATTAGAAATAAGTGACTATATTTAAAAATTTAATAGTCCTAAAAGCGATCAAAATAAGATTATTTGTCTTGTAGATTTTGCTCTACGTAAAACTAAAACAGGAGTAGGTAGGACCACGGTTATTGCTTGCATCAATAATAATAAAAATAAAATACTATAATCACCAACCGTTTGTGGCAGCTTTTTTTTTTTTTATTTCCAGACGCGAGATTCTTGCACAAAAATGAGTTTTAATAAAAAATACGTGACGCAAACAAGAATTTCTTTTAAGCTCCTATTTATTTTTAATTTAAATTTATTTTATTTCCGTGAATCTGTTAAGAAGTCAGTTTGGGCCGTGTTTGCAGTCTTGGCTGAAAATACGAAATTAAACAAAAAGAAAAACGTTCGAAATATAATTTCAACTATAACTCCAAAAATTCTCTAAAAAAAAAAAAAAAAGAGGAGGATACATGAAAAAAAAACAAACAAACAAAAAACCCCAGAAAAACAGTCCTTTCATTACTTTTTCGCAAATGAATTAATTAAATTATTTTTTAAACGCTTCTTTTTTTTTTTTTTTTTTTTTACATCCTCCCTACAACACACGCAATAATTTAATTTTATAAAATTTTGAGAAATTCCTGTTTTTTGTATCGCTTGAAAAATGCTTATATTTTTTGTAAATACAAGGACTTGAAGAATTAAATATAAATCATCAAATTTTGGGGGTCAAGCAGAATCCACAGTTACAGAGAGAAAAAAACAATGTAAAACTAAGACATTTTTTCATTAGAAAAGCTTTTAATTGCTTTCAAGATTAAAATAAGGATACTATGAAGAAAAAAAGTTTTTCAATGAGTAATGAACTTTCATAAAAATTGTTTTGTTTTTTTTTTTTTTTAAATTAAAATAATTTATAAACTTTTAAATCTTAAAATTCTGTATTTCTAGTGGCCAAGTGATATTATTAAATTAAAACTATTTACTAATCATAAATGGAAAAACTCACAACAACTAACAACATCCAGTATTTGAAAAAGAATTTTGAATTTTTTTGTATATATACGTAATATAATCATGTCAACTTTTATAAATATGAACATCTATGCACTATTATATTATCAGAAAATAAGAGGCACCTATAATTAATGTAAAATTTATTGCTGATATTCTAACATTTTCACAACAAGCATCTTTGTTGATAAGTTTATAAACCCAAAGTGCCTATAATTCAATAAAATATTTGATTGCTTGAAATATTTCTTAAATTTTTATGATTACTGAGTAATTAAAAAAAATATATAAAAAAGGTGTGCACTTTGAATTCAAATAATTTAATTCAGTTTTGTCCCCCTTACATAAATTTTCCAAATATTAGGCTGTCAATAAATCACTCAACATGTCGGAAAAACACCCCCTCCATGTTAAAAAAAAAATGTTTTTCTGCATTATTTTAGACTAAAAGTAATATTTGTTTCGATTCAGATTAAACTTTAAATCAGCAAATGTTCCTCAAATCATGTTTCAGAAAAGGGTATTTTATTTTTGAAAGATTTTTTAATGAAGAGAATTGTGTTGTGTTGCCAGATCTGCCAATATGGATGAATTTATAGCCTCAAGAAAGATTTTTCATTTTTTTAAAATGGATTATAAACTTAGGTACATTTTTTTTTTATCTTTATGTTCCTATATTTCCACTATTTAACAACTAAATGATGTCATATATGCATTCTTCCAGTTTGATATTTTTAGATTGAAATTGAAATGTTCCAAAACTATGTAATGTACACGATCACAAATCACAAGTTGATAGACAATGTGAAATTAATCACTCTTAGAAATGTAACCAATTTGCCTCCACTCTTTGATACCATCCATAGCAAATTCTTGAAACTGGACACTTTAAAAGATCTTGTACAGGTCTCTCTAAATTGTGTCTCATGGGTAATGTGCCTGGAAAAAGAAGTAGAGGAAAACCAAAACACTAGTGGAAGGATGACATAATTCCATGGCCACCAATTAATGAGTGTCAGACATTTAACAAGTTTGATTGGAATTGTAATAAATGGTGGAAATTAAGTCATGTTAGTTCAAAGTTCACTACAGGTGGAAACAACAACTGTGATGAATGAATGTCATGAAAAAGAATTTAGTAATGTAAAGGGCATAATGTTCATTATACATGTCTGATTTATTGTTGACTTCTTTGTCTTCTGTATTTGATAAGTTGTTTAGTTGAAAAATAGTGTAAGGAAGTCCAGATTGTCATGTGTACAAAGCCAATTTGGTTTTGTTTTATCTGACACCTGCTTTTCAGTTAATTCTGCTCTCATGATGTAACATAGCTGAGAATAGGTACAAAAAAAAACAAGTTGAAGGAATCAATACAAGCTTCATGTCTGTTCAAAGAAATAAACTTTTAATAACAACCATCAACTGTGACATAAAATGTTTTCTATCATGGTGAATTTGTGTAGAAAGTGTTATGGAAGTTGAAAGATAGGGTTTGTGTGTATTTAGGTGGGATGCATATTCAATATATGGACAAAGAAGAGCTTCTGCTATGGACGTTTATTCCTTTTATGTAGTAAAACAAAGTTCTCAATGTCTCTTGGGTATGTCTGTTATAACAATGATTAAAATGGTTGAGTTCAAATTAATTTTGCACTGAGTTGGAATGACCAATTCACTTACTTCATGATTAGGGCTGCTGAAACCTGTCCAAATGTTAAAAAGTGGAAAAGAGTTCAGTCATCAGTGGATCGGGGGAAACTATTGTTCCTCAGTGGGAACGTAATTGCCACATGGTTCTACATTTTGGAGCAAAAAGGAAAAAGAATCGGGCAGGAAATGTTTGCCTTTTTAAAGGCTTCAAGAGTGCCACCTAACAACGTTTGATGGAACCAAGTGGGATAATCATATTTCCAGTCCCTTTACTCTTAGCATCACAAGAAAATGTATTTATTATTATTTTATTTATCAATTTTATTTTATTTTCCCTCAGAGTTGATAAAATAGACACACATCTTAGATATGCAAAGAATGATATATACAAGTAGTAGGTTGAATATTAGAGTGTATTAGCTCTATGAAGAAAGTTTGACTTTCATGAGGAAAAACAGTTTGATCATGTGTAGAAAATCTTTGTTGAAAAATTTTTTTTTTGTGGAAGATATTTTTGTAAGATGTACTTATAATTAAGTCTTTGCATGTAGTCATTATTGGAATAGCTTGACTGCACTGAAAATGGCTAATGTACTTCACCCAATGTAACTTTAAAACATTTGGTAAGCCAGTGAGAAACAAAAAAGCATCTGTAGAGGTGACCTGAAATTGCACTTATTTTATGTGAAAAAAGTGGCTTGACAAATGGCTCTAAAATTCGGCAGTCTGATTTTTGATTGGTTGAAAAATGTTTGTATTGAATTACATGATGTTCTCTCAAGTGTGCTTGAGCATTTAAAACATTTTGAAGTACCAGTGTCTGTTTTGCATAAAAATTATGCTTTATTGTATAATCACATGACTACAATATTCTGTACTAGTTTTTGTTTTGCAAAGTCTGGCCATTTATTCACCATGTTGCATTTTGGATTCTTGTATTCAATAAATCCATTTTTCATCACCAGTAACTATCTTATTTAAAAAGAATTTTTTCTTTGTTGAACAATAAAAAAAACAAAAACAAAAAAAAACAAGTATTTAAGCACTAACCTATGTTCCTTTGTATGAAGTCATCTTTTTGTTTTTGAATTTTGACAATGACTTGTAAATCATTCTAAAGTGGACTGATTTCACAAACAATAAACTTCAAAATCTTTTCTGATATATCCTCAACATTGTGTAAAGGTTTTTACAGCATCCTATTGAAAGATGAGAACATGGCTGAGGGTAACAGATGCTACTGTTGGGCCCCAACAACTGTATTCTGATCCTGTATCTATCCACACCACAACCCGCATCATGGTGGCAAGATGTGATACATGGTTGGTTTCACAAGGGGTGCCCATTGCATGTACTTGAGCCAAGAGCAAAAACGGTCATACCTTTGTTGTGATGAGAAGGTGTTGTTAGGTTGGGATTCGCAGAATCAGGCTTTCCTTATTAAGCTATGGAATTCTTTAACACAGAAAGACAGTGCAATGTTTTGTACCATAGTATAGGAACACAGCAGAAGAGAAAACTGATACTACACCTTGATCTCTGCCAAAAAACCAAGGAGCATGCATTCTGAGTAGTACTGTTCTTATATTCTTAAAATCAAGGTACCAAAGAGGAAAGGTCATCAGAACAATTCATATGAAAATATTTATAGAAAAGGCACAAAGAAAAGGTGGAGAGAAAGTGACTGAAGTTGAGATGCCATGTCAGGACTAATAATATTGCAGATTATATAAGAATTCCTGGTGGAATGTTTATCTGAACCAGTATTCTCATTTTATGAGTTGAAAAACTCCCATTATGAATAATCAAGATGGCAGTTGTATTTGGTACAAAAGAATACAACTGAAGATGTTCTTAATATAAAACTCTCCAATTTTTATATATATAAAAAAAAATATTGCCTGCTGCTAAAATAAATGATTAAAATTTTTTTTTTTTAAACCTTGTGAAATGTAAATATCTCTCATTTATTTAAAAAAAAAAAAAAAAATTGGGAATCACTTTTTTTCTCTTCAAGAAGTCTGTGGAAATTTTTCTTACTAGAATTTTTGCAACATGCTGCTGCATGTTGAAATCCTCACTGTATTTAGTGTCGTTGAAGATATCGCTTCTGCCCATTTGAAACTTTCCCTACTGTGTTTATATTTAGTGCTTCGACTGTGGATGATATTTTACCAGAATGAAAGATAAATATAAAAACTTAAAAATATGCAAAAAACAATATTGCATTTTTATTAAATTTGTAAATTTAAAGTATTTGTTATTTTAATTATTAAATTGTTTTTTAAATGGACTATTTTGTATGTTAAATAATAAAAATTAATTTTTCAAAAAAATTAATGAAAATTTATTGTATTAAGCTATGCACCCTAGTAAAACCAAATATACTTTGTACCCCCTTACCTGTTTTCACTTCTCCCCCAAATTTGGTTTCAATTGGTCAATGTATGGTTATTTTAGAACGTATGACAAATGGAAGGACTAACAGAACTACCAGAATTTTATATATATATATATATAGATTTGATTAAAGACTGCTTGTGTCCTTTGAGAGTCAACCAGTTTCAAGATTGTTTTCTCTGGCATCCTATTCCACTCTTATGAGAAGTTTTTCAGAATAAATTATTTTCTTTCTTGCCCCTAATTTTTATATATTCTTAATTACTGCATTTCAGTTAATAAAACTTGTCATACCTAAAATATGATGCAAGAACAAGTTAACTTTGGTATGTAAGAAAGGTTGTAACTGAGTTTTTGTGTTTTGCTGTTGTGCAATGATTAGTAACTTCATCTAGCTGTTAATGATATATAGTGTTTTCTTTTTTAAATCTTCATTGGGTGCTCTATTATTTATGACCTTGTGTCAGACTAAGCTTAGTATATACCTCTAGCTAATTTGAATAAATTATAAGGAATCAAGATCTGTCCTGTCAAAGGGAGAAAACTTAATATATCTTCCATGGTGAGAAAATATTTTTGAAAGTATTTCGTCTTCTCCAATTCTATTGATGACTTTGCTATTTTCAGTTTGCCTCCTGTGTATGTAAATATAGTTGATTGATGTACTTTTTCTTTCAGTTAGTCATGTATATTTGTGTGAAAGAAATAAAAATATTGATTTTTTTTTTTTCTATTTGCTTCAGGTTGTCTTTAGAGATGTGATTCACCTTGCAGTAAAAATGGAGGAGCAATACACTTCAGATATTGAAAGGAAGGAACTTCTACAGAAAAGACATTATTTTTTCCTGAATGAATTACAGCAAATGGCTAGAGAATTGCCTGGGTTAGTATTAGATTTTCTTGCAATCAAGTTGTCATTCATTTTTATCATGCTAATATTTCTGATTTGCAGGAATGGTAACCATTAGAATGCATTACTCTTTGTAAAGTGTAGTGGAAATGAAACACAGAGGGAGCAGCCAATCGCTACTGACAACAGTACCTATCCTTGTCAGTCAACAAGACAACATTTAGTGTGCTGTCTCTGCATAAAGTTAGCACATGGCTGCCCTGCCAGAACAGAGCTGGTGCAAACCCCAGAATGTCCAGTTATGAAAAAAACGTATCACCCAGCTTCCCCATGAGATAGTTGAGATGGTGAGTTGAGCAGTGTTAGCTATGCAAATGATTCTTTTGCTAGCCAAATGCTAAAGTTTTAGGCTCCATAAAAGCAGGCATATTTTCTGGGAATAGGCAGTGTCTGGCAATATCATATTGACTGCAAAACAGGATTACCATGCATTATCAAAGATTTCTGTTTGTGTTACCCAGCGTCATTTCAAATACATTCAGCCTCATTTGTTTTTGGTTCAGCTGCGTTCACCCTGTATGCAGCTGAAATAATGAGGAGAAAAAAATAATATGTAACCTAATCATTTATTACATAAATTTATTTTGTTTTTACTGGTGGTCTTGAGATATCATCATTGTTGTAGATCAGAGTTGTCCAACCTTTTTTCCTAATGGGTCAAATTAAAAATTTAGGTATATTCACAGGGCCACAAAAGTACTTTATACAAATAAGCTTTTAAAATGTTCAAAATGTGAGTATCAAATTTTAATAACAAATATATATAATTACAAAAAAATACTGTATTATTGATAGTAAAAAAAAAAAAAAAGAAATTATACATACACAAAATAAATTCAATGTGATTTTTGACATTGCTTTCCTTTTATAATATTGCCAATATTTGCTTTTATGGTACTAGTCTTTATTCTAAAAATGTGAGTTTAATGGAAACATGCACAAAATTGTTCATGGCAGTATGTACTACCCCACATGCATAACAGTTTTCTAGATAAGCTAAATAATTTTTATTTAGTTCTGGCTCTTGCTCCATGCACCAGCCGGTGTGTCGCAACAAAGGCCTTTACCCACTTCCCCTTTTAGTGCAATGGGGAAGTGAACCTATTAGCACAATCTGAGAATAATTTTCTTGACATACGTTACTAAAGTAGATGAAAATATACCTAAAGATTTTAGGGTGTGGTGTGTTGGACGTCTCTGTTGTAGACTGTCTTTTCAAACAGTCAACTAGCTCCTTTCATTATGGATGGGTTTTGTGTCACTGATTAAACTAACAACGTAATAGCCATTCTCATGTTGCATATTCCCGTCTGAGATTTAGTCTGTTCTGCAAAAACAAACTTATTTGCCAATTAAAAACTATGTATTTATTACAAACTAAAACACATTACTGTAAATTTTAATCGTATTTTCTAATGACGGCAATTGTTCACTCATGGAAAATACATTAATTATGAGTTTCATCCTAAGTTTCTTATGTTGATTAAGGGGAATAACTCTTGTGACATAATCCAAAAGTTAATTTTCCTTTGTTTTTTTTCTTTTTTTTTTGTTTCGTTTTATTTATTTTTTTAATATTTTCTACAATAAAGATTTCTATTTAACTACCTTCTAACATATATTATCTGTTATTCCCATTGTCTTTTTCTACCTACTTAAATTTATTTTACGTATTTTTGTAAATTTTTAGCATAGTTTAACAAATGTGCCTGTAGAAAAAACAATGTCAAACATTTGTCTTGTAAATGGAATTTTTAAAGCATTCTGAATGTAAATAAAAAAAAAACGTGTGCAAGACAATAAGAAATACTACTTGCCGAAAAAAAAAGTGGATGTTTGTTTTATCGGCTGAAAAATGTAAAAAATCCGATCCCATATATAAAGGAACATACACACACACACACACACACACATAAACAACCTGGGTTTTTTAACCTAAGTCACTCCACGGAATCACTAAAACATAGAGCATAGTCTGATGAAAAAGACGCCAAAGTTTATGAAAACAAAATTTTATCGTCAAAATGCTTATGTTTTTATGAAGAGGATAGACTAAATTTTTTTTTAATTATTTTAAAAAAATTTTCCATCTTTTAGAATATTCTAAATTTTGATTTAAAAACCTTGTTTCTCTTTTGTCGCAACACACATTAATTTGGAAAATCTTGCAAAAATAAAAATAATTGTCAGATGTTAATGAAACTTTCAGAAACTATTCACAGATGATCGAAATTATTATAAATATGTTTTTTTTTTTTTTATTAAAGTCATGGCAGAAATATTTTTTTTTATATTTATTAACACCCCCATAACTAATTTTATGAAAAACTCTAGAAATTCGAGACCATCGGTTTTAGTGATTACAATAGTTAAAAGCACAAGGCTTTGAAGAATGCAAATCATGTTTTTTTTGATTTTTTTTTTTGGCCAACGTACCTGAAAATCAGCTGTGAATTGTAACATACAAAACTCAATAAAACAAATATGTTATTTAGTTTCAAATGCTTTTATTTATTTTAATTTGTTTTTATGAATATGGACAATATTTTCTGAAAGCAAAAAATTTTTTCAATGAAAATTGAATTTTTAATACAATTATTTCTTATTTCTTTAATTTTAAAAAGATTTTTAAAAAATGTTTAAATTGAATTTTAAAAAATATTTTAACATTAGTTAAAAGCAACATCAACCTTTCAAAATGTCCGTGTGAGATTGTCATTGTCTAAGCGCTTTGAAAATTGTATAATTTGGACCAATCAGATTAGCCATGGTAATTAAGAAATGTAATTTTTTGTGTTTATAGTCGGACAGTAATTATCAAGTATGGAAGACCAACCAGAATACAATTTAGTTGCATTATTTGAGTTCAGCATTGTTCTCTGCTGTTAAGCCCTTTTACTTTTCTGAAACACGTATGGAGAAGTTAAATTTGAGTTTTCAATTTCAACTGAGAAGGGTATCTACAAGTAACAGTATCATCTTATGAAATTTAACTACTGCTAAACTTTAATTTATATGATCTTATTTTTATATTAATCTCAGTTATGACATTTTTCCATAAATGAAATATCAAAATTAATAATAAAATGAATGGAAATACAAATAACACAGTAAAATGTAATAAATGTACATAAAATTATAGTATTTTATGTACACTTCTGATAAAATTTCATAAGAAAGGTACCTAAATTAATTAGATACTTTTTTTCTTATGAAATTTAATCTCACTATTAACAGTCTTATTTTTTATTTTTTTATATTTTCCATAATGCATCGTAAACGTAAAATGAAAGCTAAGTACAAAAAAAAAAAAATTAGAGCGCTGAAAGTTTTCCTTAAAAGTAACAAGGTAAATAATTTGTTCACTTAAATAATTTCACTTCCTTCCATCCGTGAAAAGAATTCTCCTCCCGTAAGTTATCTAAACGTCATGAATGTGCCTTTTAGTCAAGCTTACGCAAAAGGTTATGACTTGCTTTGTTTTATTTTCAAATTACATTTTTTCAGCTCAGAAGCTAAGTTAAGCTTGGTTCAAAATATTTTAAATAAACAGTATAATTTCTGTTTTTATTAAAATCAGTTTTGAAAAAAATGATAATTGATTTTTAAAAGAATATCAAAGTAAGATTTTAATCTTTTTATCAAATCGAAAAAAATGATTGAAAATGATTATCTGTCCTTTTTTTTTGACCAAAAAAAAATATTTTTAATGAAAATTTCAGACGTGCTAGGAACGATTTAAAAATGTAAAAAAATACCACCAAAATACTTTGATCTTTCCTCTTTAATAATAATATGAACATTAGACGATAAAATTTTGTTTTCGTCAAGTTCAAGCGTCTTTTCATCATGCTATGCTCTTTTGTTTACATTTTCGTGGGTGAGTTGTCCCCTTTCATTCTCAATATATGTCTTAATCGTGTTTTCAAATTGATTTTATTAAAAAACAACTGTGTTTTTCCCATTTTCGGCCCGTTAGAACCACCACAAGGTAATTTTATGTAGTCCTGTGAAGTTTTGTTGAAATCGGCTAAAAATGTAGGAAATTCGATCCAACATATAAACGTTACAGACACACACACACACACACACACAATCTGCGTTTTATAATAAGTAAGATAAGATTTTTATAATTTAAAAAAATTCAAACATACATTTTTTTTTTTCTCAAAAATTGACCACAAACATGTTAAATACTATTTATTAGATTGTTTATTTACAAGATTATAAAAATATGTGAACCAACTCCAATGCAATATTTATTATTTACCATTTTATAAAGAAATTATATAAAGACATATATATTGTAAATATATACATAATCTTCTTTAAATAACATATTCTTATAAATAAACAGTCAGTGCTTAACATTTTTGTTGTCATTTCTCTAGAAAAAATGCATAAATACAAATTATGTTATGATTTTACTCAAATTCTAAAAATACCTTTTAAAACAGTAAAAATTACTGAGGTTGCATACAATTATAGCAGTGTCAAATAGAAAAACCAGTCTTTTGACATTTTTTTTATGGGCACATTTGTTAAATTGTGCCAAATTTCTTTCTTAACAATATATATTGTTGCGATTTGCAGAACTAGGCTTTAACATAAAAAGGAACTAAAGCCTTTTTTTTCATGTTGTGTAATGAAAAGTTTTGTATAGTTTAAGTTAAAATGAAAGACGGTTATTTAATTTTCAATATTAACTTTATTGAAGAACACATTCACTCTTTTTGTTCCATTATATTTTACCATCTTTCTCAAATCACTGTCCATCTACACATCCCAACATATGGCTGACAGAATGGAACTATGCAAAAGATAGTCAATGGGGGAACAACTGAATTTCTCAATCCCAACCATAACTATTAATACAGACAATCAACTAGAAACTTTCTGTGTTCAGTTTGTTTTGGACCTCAAATCCTTTTCTTTTACTTGTTCTTGTTTAATTCTTTGATGTGCTGATTCAAAATCCTCATCTGCTGGCCATAAGATTTTTCTTTTCTACGTGGGTGTCCCACCCATAGTGTCACAACCTGTTCACTCATTCAGAATGCCTTCTTCATAAATTGTACAATTGTCTTTTTTCTTTTTTTTTTTGTATTAGATTTTTACCTTTCTTTAAATAAAAAGTGTATAATCTACCAAAAATATTGTTTATTTTCATCCCTTTTCAATGTTAGGTTATCTTTGTAACCAAAACTCTACAAAAAATAATGTATGCTGTTATAGTAACTACAACAATTCAGTAAAAACTGATCTTTTTCATTCAAATTAACCAAAGCTAAATGCTTCCAATTCTATCAAAGATAAAAACAACAATTTTTTACATTAACCAGTAATAACTTTTTATAAGTGTTAGGTGTCATTTTAACTTGAAATGTTAGCTTCTTACAAGATTATTATTACAGCTAAAATCACATCCTTAATTCTTCTCTATGAGAATTATAAAGTTCTTAATGAATTTTCCTCCTCTTTTATATGCCATATTGTTTCACAATGTGGGTGATCATGGTTCTCCATAACTTCCTGTCTTTTGCCTAAGTAACTTTGGTCCTTTTACTATCCACCTCTTTGTTTCTATTCTGCCATCCATTCATGCAAACTCATTAAATAGAATACCTGTGGAACCCCATTAGAGAATTGTAGAAAAATTCAATAGATCTAAGTACTATCATTAAAAACTCATTTTTTTGCAAACAGTAGCCTCAGTTTCAGTTTCCACATTGGCATATATTAACCAATCAGTGATGTTATTGCAAACGCACTTTGAAAAATCAAACAACTATGTTTATTGTCTGCTATAAAATTTGAAGGATTACTCCAAAAAATGATCAACAATATTTTCCCTCTTAAAAATAGATATTTAAAAATTGGGAAAAATATTTAACTAACAAACTTCTAAGTTTAGGAAAATCTAACTTTTAGATCACTGGAGCCTATTTTTCTGTATAAATACAATTGCATAAATTAACATTAGTTTTCAGTTTTGCCATAAATCTTTGACCAGAGTCGGTTCTTCATTGTTGTGAACAAGCTGAATTCTCAAACCTTTTGTATAATTTATTACTCGATATTTCATATATTTTATTTAAGTAACTTCTTACACGGCCTGGCTATTTTAAAGTAAATTAAGCACACTTGAAGCATACAAATAGATTTTTGTAAACAAAACATTAGTAGAAGCTATAACAGCTTTCCTGTCTGCTGACTATTAAGAAATTTCATGCATTCATAAAACAACGTAAATACGTGACACTCTCCTTATGTAGACATATTCTGTTTCTTCTATCATACTTATGCAATTGATTCAGTTGTCTTGTAAATAAAGAAGAAAATATTTTTGTGTGAATTTGTTTTGCAAGAGTATTTAAATTCATTTCTTTCAATCTGGAAACATACTCAATAATAAAATTTATTTAAATTTGTAGACCTGTGTTTGAAGATTATTTCTTTCTTTGTTTTTTCACATGCTTATTCCTCAACATACCCATTGTTTCCCTCACTTCTCTTGCTTTTAATATGTCTTGCAGGTGTTAAAGTCTCTAGACTCTTTCTCCTCATTATGCGGCCCTGAAATTTCAACTGTCTTTTTCTGATTGTAGTTCCTATTTACTTTGTTGTTCACAGGTTCTATCCATGGTATTCTTAGCATTCAACAGTAGAACCAGATCTCTGTAACTTCTTTGTCTGTGGAGAGATTGTTCAGCATTCACTGCCATATAGGAGATTAGATATTACATATCAGTTCAGCACTTATTTTAGTGTTATTGAATGCAAAGCATTTATATCTTTAAGAACTAATACACATTCTATAATTTTGAGAAGAGCCATCATCATTTCAAGAGATCTTTGGTCTGTTGGCTTTATTCTTTATGTTGCTTATGAGAAAAAATATGTTCTCTTTCCTTACAGATTGTGTGCTTGAAAAAGGCTGTAGAATAGGTTAGCCAAAATATAGTCACAACAGAAATAGCATGAAGAAATAAATTGAGTCACGTGAACAAATCTCTCAGCTATGTTGATCACTACACCATGAAACTGTTTTAAACTTGTGATCTTCAATTGTTGCTCTATTTTTTTTTTTAAACTGAAAGATCAACCATTTTCACCTTTTTAAAACAGTTGTGTTCTATGCCATGCCATGTTTAAAACACCTTTTACTGACTTATTTGACTTATTTTTACATTGGAGGAGACATGTCATCTATTCTTTAAAATCTCTTCACTGGATTACTTCCCTTATTTCATGCTATTTTCTTTCAAATTTTTTTGAGATAATCCAAATAACATACCCAAAATGAAAAGTAGTCATGACTACTAATACATAGAATTATACCTTGTGTCAATGCATCAAGGCTTAATTAGTATTCATTTTCAGCTAGTATTTGTGTCTGAATTTCTGGGATGAGTTAACATTATTTACATCCAGTCTTCATTTTTTTGTTGTTATCACAATTTCAGCCATTGTGCACTCTGATCTTGATCAGGTTCAGAGAATTTCAAACTGAACCTGTTACAGCATTACTTCTAGTTCGACTAAAAAGCAGTGACAACAATATTTTACACAAGTAAATGACGAGTGTAAGGAAATGAATTTCAACAATGTGTTATTTTATATTCTTGTTTTTATATAACTATACACTAGTATGCATGCAAGAGAAAAGAAAATACTGAAAGTTAGAAATTGTGTGAGTGATACATGTGAGTGTCTGTGTGAAAAAGTTCAGATACTAAGGGAAAAGATATCTCCATACCCAGGAGAAGGTCCCATTTAACATTGTCATTTCAATATGTTAGGAGGGAAAAAAAAGAGATAAGAGAACAAAGACAGGAAGTGTCCCATTTTTAAAAGTCCTTAACAGCACCCTCTAATGACTTCTTGTCAAAACTGGCAAAGCTATGCGGGGATAAGATACAAACCATACCGGGTAGATTTTTTCTTATTCCACTATCCATGTCTAAGCATATCTTGTCTATTTCTTATTTAGTACTGCTTAGTTATTGCTCACCCATTTCCACAGAGTCCATTACACACTGCGTGGCCCAGGGACTGAACTCACTATTACTATGTCACCAAATTCACAAACCAATATTAGGCTATTGACCTGTGGGATTAGTATTTTTTTCCATCTTAATTCCTGCAACTGTCTATGATTGTAACAGTGTGGGCCAGAAATAAAGAATACTCCTTCAATGAGACTCAAACTTATATTCTTTTTTTTTTTTTCTCAGGGAAACTTGTTTTAGTGCAACACCCTACCTCACTGATGTAGTATTTCATTTCTGACATGGATTATTGTCAATATTCTTCTATTATTTCAAACTATTCTAATCTTGATTGTTATGGATGTTATTATAGAAACAACATTTTGGTCAAGTACCTTCTGGTGTTCATTGATTAGCTGATATTGGATATCTGTTGTTGTTGTAATATTTTGTTCCTGCTAAATTGGTGTTTTTTTTTTTTTTTTTTTTTTTTTTTTTTTATATTAAATGTCAGATGGTATTTGTGTGGTTATGATGTTGGGTCTGTGCCGCTTTTCATAATTTAGTATTCTGACATTGAACATAAAAGGCTCCAAAAAAGACACCACGAATGATCTTATGAACAGTAGCATAGTGGATATAAGAGTTGCTGTCATCTAGTGGTCATGAGTTCAATACTTGGCTCAGATAGTGAAACACCAATTCAGCAGGAACGAACAATAACTAATATCACAAGAACAGAATATCACAATAATCAACAGATATCCCATATCAGCCAATATTCCTCTTAGGCAAATAATATGCTTTCATACAGGCCAAAAAAAGTAAATTCTTCTTAAGTTACCAAGAATGGGATTTAAACTTACTGAAACCTATTCTTTTATTTGTTATAATGAGTAATCATTTTAAAGTTTGCCTGTTTTGGTTTTCTGTTGCCAGGAAATACCAGCAGCGTGTTCCCTATGACCTCTTGTCAGGTCTTGCTCATGCCTTACTGGATGGAACTGTCTTTGAAATTGTCAGAAGCTTGTCAGAAGTGCAGCATTTAGAGGAAAAGAACCTATTTAACCAACGTGTAAAGCAGATGAATGACCATAAAGGTCAGTAAACTTATTTCTATGTTCATTTGCAACTTTTGATTTAACTAATTGATTTTTGCTGACTACATAGTTTTTGCAGTTAACTTTCATCTGGTTCACACTCTTTTTTTATTTTTTTTTTTGAACAGGAATAGAGGTTTAACCATTTTTTCCTGTTTAGGATTGGGTTTCCAATTCCTTCTAAAGTTTTCTCTTTCACTTCCAGTAACACCTTGCGTCTTAGTGGCATTATCTCCTTGTTTGGGGCGAATTAATAAAATAAAGTCACAATAAGTCAATGTTTAAAAAAGAAATACGCCCTGACATATGTCTGTATTTTTTTAATTCTATTTTTGATAGTGTGAATAATATCAAAACTTGTGAATTTTTTCCTGCCTCAATGATTCCAATAAATCTCACTTTAAGATGAGTATCTTCCAATCAAATGCCTAATAACTCTGCATGTCATAATTTTCTTTTTTTAAATGTCATGTCCATTCAGAATGTAGACGTTCATGGCTCTCCATGCATTCTTTTGCTTTTATTATGTGTGAATTGCTATGATTTCTTAGGAAAAAAATAATGGAGTGTTTTTTTTGTTTTTTTTTTCCTGTTAACTTTGACAATGTTTTGAATTCAGAGTTTTCCTTCTCTTAGACTGGTTGTCATCCAAGGCTTGAGTCTACCTTGTTATTTAACCTATAATTGAGGATAGAAGAAACAGATTCATGTTGTTCTCAAGTGTATTAGTGCAAAAGTTAGTGGAATTTGAACTCTGTTTGGCAATTTTGTTTTCCATGCAAAAACCACTGCACAACTCACACAAAATATCTCCTAAATATCCAATAAATAATTGTTGGTATCATCAACATCAATAGTTCACAGAGACAATCAATTAATGCAGTAATGATTTTGGAGTTTCAATTGTTTTTTGTTTGTTTTTTTTTTTGTTTTTTTTTATCAGTTTTGTTCTCATCAAATGAATTTATATCTAATGAATTTTTGCTTCTGTTTTTTAGCCCAGAAACATGAAATGTTAAAGAAGCACAAAGAAATGATTCAAGCTTGTGAGACCAAACCACATAATTTGCCTTTGGTAACAACACAAGTTGAACGAGAAAGAGAGGTGAGATGCTGTTGTCTTTATTTCATTTTTTTTTTCTTATGCAAGTATGCCGCAGAGACATTACAGGTTCAGTTCCAGACACCTGCAAAAAAGTATCCCAGTGTATGCCCTATTTGAGAGTCCTATTAAGTGTGCAATAGCATTAGATCTAAAAATGTAGACATGTTAATTAAAAAATGCTTTCTTGCTGTCAAAATGTAGCACAGACACACTAAATGCAGTTGGCAATTTTATTATAATTCGTACCAGATTTGTACCAGATTTTATGGTAGGCATTAAGGAGTTGAGCAGATTAGCAGGGTATAATGGACTAATGTCTTAAAAGGGTTTAACTTTTGCTGCTTGAGACAATGTGATGCTGGTAGAATGGGTCAAAGGTTTGAAGTAAGAATAACTTAGAATGTACCAACTAATATTCAAAAAGAAATTATAATTTACATAGATGCACCAATACATCTGAACCTGTAACTATTGGGCATTTGTTAAATAACTACCAGTGTGCCTAGTTCTATATCTATGATATATTCTTGGTACTGAAGAAGGCTCATCTGGATTTTCAACTAAAAGTTATAGATACAATGTATATTAAATCTTTCCAGCCCACTTTCTGTAAGCAGAAGGAGTGGCTTTTAGGTCTGAATGTTATCAGATATCTAAGATATATATATAAACATCTTTTTTGTTTTTCTATTTGATTCACTGTGCATATTTTTAAGTTCACAATAGAATTCTGATGAGAGAGAGAAATGAAAACTAGTTAAATTTTTTTTTTGTTCTCCTTTGTTGCTTTTCAATTTAGCTCTTTAGAGTAACTATAAAAATTTTTTGGTAATATTTAATCTTTGTGCCCACAAAAAAAAAAACAGTGTGTCAAAAGGATGGTTATGTCCTTGACACCACTATTAATATATATTTTTGACTCCCTCGCCAATGTTTATTTAGAAGATGCTAAAAATATGTGAACCAAATACAATGCAATATTTATTATTTGATTTTTATAAAGATTTATTATTTACCATTTTATAAAGAAATAGATTTGAAAAGTAAACTTTTTATTCAAAAATTTATAAAAAATTACAAAATTGTCAAAATATGTAAACCAACTACAATGCAATATTTATTATTTCCTCTTTTATAAATAACTATAGAACAAAATTTGAACAAACATGTGACATAAACATAAATTAAAAGAATGTCTAGTTTAGAGGAAGAAATGCTCTTAAACTATTTTAGTGAATTTATGTGGCAAAAACAAATGAAAGAAATGACTAGAAAATGTATTTTTCAAAATTCATAATTACAGTTACTTGTCATTATGTGCTTATTTAAATTTTCTTGTTCACATATATTTTTATAAATTTATGAATAAAAAAACTCTTTTCATATTATTTATTTCTTTATAAAATGGTAAATAATAAATATTTCATTATAGTTCATGTATTTTTATAATCTGGTAAATATAAAATTATTCTTGTAAATAATCAATCTAAATTATAGTATTTAATATTTTTCTTATTAATTCTCAAGAATAAAGAAAATGTATAAATCCACTTTCATGTTTGGGTTTTATTAAAATTCTAATCATCACTTTTTTTAAACAATAAACATTGCCGAGGGAGTCAAAAGTGTATACAGTAATAGTGGTATCAAGGGAATAACTGTTCTTTTGACACACTGTTTTTTGGTGGATACAAAGGTTAAACACTGCCAAAATGTTTTTGTTATTGATATTTTTATCTTGTCTGTTGCTTTCAGATAATGAACAAGAGAATTGAAGATGAGGTAAAGAAGAGAGACATGAAAACTATCATGGAATTAGACCAAAAGGTAATGGATCAACAGGTCACTTTAGAGAAAGCAGGAGTCCCAGGTTTTTTTGTTACGAACAATCCAGCCGAAATTCGGCTTCAGATTTATTTACTTGAATTCATCAACCGATTACGAAATACCGACCTTCCAACTTGAAAAACAAGTTGGAATGACATGTGGCTACTACCTTGTCTTTTCTGTAGAGTTGGGATCATGACTACAGAATTGTAAAAAATCAACAGAATACAATCATCCATTTCTAGGTTTTTCTTTATGCTACCAGTTCAGTTGTTGTTGTAAAACATTGATATAAATAACAAGCCTTTTCCCATTAAGATATTTGGCAGGAGAACCAGTTTTTGTTAGGTGCAGATTTTGATACATATTCAACATTTTCTTTTTCCTTTTTCTTTGATCAGTTGAGACAAATAGCTCTGAAGACAATTATTTTGTGAATATTTCATTCTCTTTAAAAATAGGGTATTTAAGCAAATTCCCAAATTTCATTCTCTTTAAAATTATAGCATTTAAACAAATTATAGTTTTTTTTTTCTCTTTCTTCCATAACTATGTAGATATTTCTTTTCTTTTCACACACTTCTCTATTCTGGTTTCCTTGCTTCCCTGCCACCTATGATCTTCAAAAATTTAAATAAATCACCATTTTCTGGCTCCCTTAATACTGTTCTTTTATTGTCCTTTCTCCTTACTAAAATCTCATTCTTTTTCACTCCTAGTTACTCCTTGCATCTTAGTGGCATTGTTGCTTTGCTTGGGGTGAAATGATTAATATATATATATATATATATATATATTTAAGGATATAATTGTATTGATATTAGCTCAGTATGATTAAACTTTTTAGTTTTGGGGATGTGCTATAAATGTCATTTGGGTGTTTTTGTAAAGTTTTAAAAATGGGCACTCTCAAGTGACCTGCTTGGTGGGTAAGATAGTTGTGCATCTGCCACGAGCAGTAGAGGTCATTGATTTTCAAGTTAGGTAGGGACTCCCCACTGGGAAGTTTGACACAATACAATCTTCCTCCTATTTAACATTGTGCCACACTAAACTAAGTTTAGTGAACATGAAATGGACCACTGAGATATTTATGTATTTCTTACTGACATCAGTGATATTCTTGCTAATGTTAGGGTTTTGAATGTTGATTTTTAAAATTTGTTAGCCTAACCCAATTAAAAGATTGGCACAACACAGACTTCCTACTCTGATTTTTATTAATTAGGCCTTGTCTGATTCTCAGCTTAGTTAATAAAAAAAGAAAAGAATAATGCCTGTGAGAAAATTAACTTTCAGAAATTTGTAGGCATTTTTACACTTCAGCAGAGGACCTTCATTTTAAGGTTTTAATTTTTTTTTAAATTTATTTTTTTGTAAATAATTTTTGATACTGGGTATAATTAAAACAAATTATACAATAAAATATGTAAAATAATTGTTAGGGTTTATTTTTGTACTTTTTTTTTTATCATATGTTACATATTTAACTCTACTAACATTCATTCCTACAAGAATGTTTTGTACATTGTCAACAATTTCACTAGTTCACCAAGAGTGTCAAAAAAATATGATGGAGTATTTAAGTCATTTTCAGTTACATTTTACTTATAAAATATCAAAAGGTTTCTTACTTTGTATTTTCTTTTTTATGCCTAATGTTTCTTGAATATTAAACTCAAAATAATTTAAGTAAATATAACGATCTTCTGCCTCATTCCCAAAATATAAAATCAAAAACTTTATATTGCTTCACATTTTCTTGTTTATATTCAATGTTTCCCCAAGTATTAAACTAAGCAAATCCCATTTTAATAATAATTATTAAGTAAATCTGATTTCCTTATCCCTAGAAGAATGATTTCTGTATCGAAAGAGTCTATTACGTAGATATGAGCAATTCACCTAACTCTATATAATGGATTCTTCTGGTAATGTAAAAAAATGTGACACAAAATATGTATATTTTGTTTCACTTATGTGGGTATTTATGTCTATGATAATAACATCTGTTCCTATGTGAATATTTTGTGTCAACAAACAATTGTTTAATATTTATGAATACGAAATGCTGTTTGCAAAACTCAGTAACATTTGGCCTCAAACCTCTTTTAGATAATTTTGAAGGTTTACAGCCATATCACATTGAAATACTGTTTCTCATATGATTGCCAATGTTAAGCAATGTCCAGCCCGGTCAGCAACTAGATGTATGACCACTTGGGAATAACATGAAGTTTATATGTGTGGGTGGTTTAATTGATAATGGCTTGGAAGTGAAAATTGAAGAGCCAAGTTCCAGTTCCACTTGGGTTCGTTATATTCACTAAAGTAAAGTTCAGTAAATATTCTTGGGAAATGTATGAATCCATCTCTTCTCACTCCAGCTATGGGTTAAATAGTAAGTCTTGTATCAGTAAATCATTATTATCTCCAAAATATTCTTATAATCCAGAAATATTTTCTGTCTTTAAATAAGCCAAAAAAACCCAAAAAAAACCACAAAACAAATCAATCAATAGATAATTTTATAATCTATACAAATTAAAGAATGCACAAAGTTCTTACTTGTATCATGTCAAAGGGATAAAAATAAAATTTGAATTGCACAATATTGAATAAATACCACTTTACATACACACATCTTCCAACCACTGACCATCAATAATCAAGTACAATTAACTGCAGGCTATCTCAATTCTTCCAGCGAAACTATCTTCAATGAAGCCAAGAAAGATTATGGATTTTTGGCAACTCACATACGCACCACACACCAAAAAATGCTAATAAGAAAATAAACACCATATGGTTCAACCCACCATACAACAAAAATGTAAAAACAAATGTAGGAAAAATGTTCATACACAAATACTTCCCCTCACCATCAAGCACACTTCACAAGATATTCAACAAAAACATAGTAAAAATCACTTACAATTGCACTGAGAACATGACACAAATAATAAAAAAGCACAACAGAAAAACAACCAACAAATCACTCACACAAATCAAACCCATATGTAATGGTAAAGCAAAGAACAAATATCCCTTATACAGCAATTGCTTGCAAAACAAGGTGATATACCAAGCCACTATAAAACCAGCAGATATTGAACAGAAATATACATAGGAGTAACTGAAGGACCCTGAAAACAAAGAAATTACAAATGCAAACATCCTTTATGAATAGTAAATACGTGAACAACACTGCTTTCTATGAATATATGGGAAATTAAAAACAAAAAACAAATCACAACAAATATTTTCTTTATTTTCCATGAGATTCATGGAAAATAAGGAAAACATCATCAGCCTACAACAATAAATCCCAAAACTGTAACCTCTGGAGGGAAAAATAGCTATAATTACCTTCTTAGACCAACACAAATTAATAGATAAACATTAGAACTTATCTCAAAATGTAGACACGAAAACAAATTTTTATTATGTTACTTAAAATGTGAAAACTAAAAACAAATACAAAAAATAAGTAATAAATAAACAAAAAATATAAATTAATAAATAAGTAAACAAATTAAGTAAATAAACAAACTACAAATAAACACAAGTAAACACAATAACAATAATCAACAATGAGTCAAAAAGTTAAGCAACACTATAAAATAGCTACAAATAACTGCATTATAGCCTCTAGAATAATTTGGGACAACTGTTACCACTCACCCAATAACTGTGAGGATAATACAATAGACCTACCCATAATGCACCACTGACGAGCATATATAAATAGTTGAGCCAAGACACAACACACATGGCCTGGAGATTGTGTTTAAGCATGATACAGTCACTGGATGTTGACCTCAATATCCACTTTTACGTGTGTGTGTATATGTATGTATGTATGTATATATATATATATATATATGTGTGTGTATGTATGTATGTATGTTTTGAACAATAAAAAATATTAAAAAATTAAAATTTTCAAAAACACTGAGGTTGTATATTAATATTTTTTTTTGTTTTATTATTTCAATTAGGTTCCTTGACTAGTTTTGGCCAGCATGGCCATCATCAGGAGAAAAAAAATCCTGCTTGTTAGTAGCAGTGAACTACAGGAATCTTTTTATATGCTTATTGAGCACTTTTTAATATTACTGTTTCCTGCTCTAATTCAACTCTGACCATTAACTTTTTTATTATTATTATTATTATTATTATTATTATTATATATATATATATATATATATATATATATATATATACATATACAGAGGTAGAAATAAGTATAAGACACCCCATGAAATTGTTAATAATTTTCTTATTACTGCACAAATTCCTCTGAAAATTTGTGTGTGGTACCTAGATCCAATGGGTATTAGTGTGCATATTCAATTTTATAACATCTTTCCACCAAAAAAAGTTATTAACAAAACTTTGTTTTCAAGGGTGGAAATAATTATAAGACAGATTTGAAAATTTGTATATCTGGTTTACTTCAGAATGCCAAAGGAAGAATAAGTGCATGTGCAGATTATAAAAAGACTCTTATCTTGATTTTAAGCCACATGAGTCCTATTTAAACATTTCATAATTGAATACAGTTACTGCAAAATGCCTAGGAACTCCCCCCTTAATGAAAGAGGGAAGATTTTTGCCTATAAACTGGAAGGAAAATCTATGTTTCATTGCAAGAGAACTGTTGAGGTTCAGAACAGTTGTAAGAAATTATCTAAAAGACCCTGAATCATATGACACCAGAAAACATCCAGGTCGTTCACGTAAAATTACAAATGCAGCCAGGCGTTGACTTTTTCGAGAAGCTTCTAAAGGACAATCAAGCTCAAGAGATCTGCAAAAATCTCAGAATTTATCCATCACTCCAAGAAGAGTTTGTCAACTTCTCCATGAATCGCCAAATGTTGTGTATTGAAACAGGAAGACAGTCTCTGCTTTAACTGCTAAACAAAAATATGCATGTAGATTGGGTAAAGAAAAAAGTAACATGGACAAATGGGAAACTGTTGTGTTTTCTGATG